TCTCTTGCTATTTGATTATTCAATGTTGCATTATTAGAGGCCCAAGATTGTAGTGGCATGTTGGCACCTTGTAGCTCCTTGTTGGCCTCTTGATATATTTGTAATAGTTCAGTAGTACTGTTAACTGTCCCTTGAAAATTGTCTACATATAGATTCTGACTGATTTCAATCTTACAGGGACTTGATAATTTTTTCTGATGAGTATCTAGAGTTGCTTGCAGCAAAAATGAGCTACTTTTAGCACCAAAGAAAACGGAGGAGAATCTGTAAGTCACAATTGGACTATAGATATCTTCTGGGTTCTCTACCCATAGAAACTTAGCGAAGTCCCTATCTTCTTCCTGTAAGCCAACTCTTAGAAAGGCCTTACTAATGTCTGCTGAGAACGCATATTTGTTAAGTCTAAACTTCAGCAGTATGTCATACAATTTCTGAGTTAGACTTGGACCGGTTTGCAAACAATCATTTAGACTGGTTCCTTGGGGTCCAGATTTAAAGCTACAATTAAAAACTATCCATAAAGGAGTTGTTTTTTATTCTCTCATTACAGCCATGTGTGGTAAAATATGGCCTGTTTGCTTATTGTCGTGTTTCACGACTTTGATGAATTTATTCTTTAGCTGTTGAGGAATAATCTCATGGTAGAGTTGTAAATGATCAGGCCATTTTCTTAGTTTTGCTAATTGAGATTAAAATTGACTGTAAGCCATGTGATAGTTGGTAGGTAAGGTTTTATGGTTGATTTTCCAAGGTAGCCTTACCCAATACTGTCCATCATGGTACTGTACAGTTTCTAAGTATTTATTATATGAACAGACATCATCAGGACTTGGTTGTTCAGGAATTATTCCTATTGCATCAAGTTCTCACAATCTATGCACAGATTCCAATCCATCATCAATCATGTGGGGGATATTAAGTGGTGACTGTTCTTTGCCTAGTCACGCCACGATTACAGTTTCTGTATGATGTGATTTTTCAGGAGTTGAAGGTTAAAGATCTAGTACAGGTCCTGTCATCAATATCCCTCCTGCTGATTTGAGAAAATTCATACCCATAGATTCCTCTGATCCCAGAATGAATCGATGATAGTAGTCAGCTCCAATCAGGATTCTGATATCCCCAATGTAGTCAGAATCGAGCAGAGGATCTGCTAATTTGGTTTATTTTTTCTTTTAGGAATTTAGTAGTGGCTGCCAGACCAGTCACTTCTATTTCAGTAGGAAATTTATCAACTACTATGGCTTCGACTGTCCTTTAGGATGTACCTAGACAGAGATTGAGTTGTACTACCTGAAAGGTTCTAAGACCTGAATTGGTAAAAAAAACCTGATATGGATATAGATACTTGCTTTGAAGATTTAAGTTGTAAATCTTCTGCCATATTTTTACTGTTAAAGGTTTTCTGTGACCCTTGATCAAAAAGCCTCTAGTTTGAATACAAATTCCTTGATTGCATAGTTCTAGCTGTGCAGTAGGTAATATGACTGTGGTAACAGTCTCTGTTTCTAAGGCGTTGGCATTACGCATTACAGTACAGAATTGTACAGCTATTGAGGTATAATTATCTTTTGGCTTTGCCTGAGACGCAGGTTGATTATTGGATGTCTGTGATCTGGATTGGGTGTTGATATCACCACAGAGTGCTGTGTGATGTACACTTTTATTACAATATTGGCAGTTTTGCAATTGAGTGTTACATTCACTTATATCGTGCTTCTGTAGACAATGGATGCACCTGTTCAGAGATTTCAATCTACTGATTCGACTGGCACGGTCTTCATAAACTGTGCATTGATAAATGGTATGTGCTTCCTGACAGAATAAACATCTTGGGGCACTCGTAGCTCCTTTTGTCTTATCTGTCTTGGGAGCTTGATTTCCTACAGTTCTGTTAACTGTGGGTAATATAGCATATGAGCCAACGTTACTCTGTTTCCACTTTGCAGAAGAGGAGTTTTGTTGCCTTGATTTTTGACTGCCAGTTTGGACATTTTTGCTTTTGTCCGTGGATTCACTTTTTGTGATTTTTTCTTGTGATCTAAGTTTTCTTCGGCTTCGTAATCTTTGTACATAAGCTCGAAGTCCATCAAAGATTTGGCTCTGTGATAAGATGTTGGTGTTATAATGAGTGCATAGGTTGTCTATGATCTCATTAGGAAGTTTCCTTTGAATGATTAACTTTGTAAGCTACTCTGCATTTCCTACAGGTACTTTTGTACTAAGGGCTTTGATGATTGATTCTATAGACAATCGAAATGATTGTAGTGACTCATAACTTATATTTGGAGAGGGTAAATCCAATAATTTGTATGAGAGATGGGCAATTGCAATCTCCTTATCACCGAAGTTATCTTGTAACAACTGTAGCGCATGGTCGTAATAATCATCTGTTAATGACAAATTAGCAATGACCTGCCTGGCTTCTTCCCATAACTGGCCTTGTAAATATTAAAATTTTGTAGTCCTTATGCGAGAAGCCTTGCAGTTTATTATAGACTCAATTAAAGGCTCTCCAGAAGGTATCTCAAACATCTTCATCCTTGCCCTTAAAATATGGTAAATGTACCTTTGGGAGCTCTGCTGCTATATGTGTGATAGTTGCAGTACCCTGCTGAGTGGATGAGCTCACATTTGATTGGGTTACTGCTTGTGATATTGGTTTGATTAAAGGATCTAGTTGATCTTGGATTTTATCTAAATACATTATTATTTCAGCAATGATTTCCTGAAGTTCTCTTTTGGTTAGATCTGCATTAGTCATTTCTGTTAGATAAATCTCTGCATGGCGTTTGATTTCCTCATACTTTTCAACAGCTGCTTTTACTCTGCCAGGATTGATATGAGAGGAGAACTACCAGGGACTTGTACTGAACTAAAAAATTAGTGTCTGCAAATTAATTCAACTAATGTCTCTAGCTAGGGTCGTCAATCCTAGCTCCTCTTTTCCTAATGACAGATTGTGGGCTGTAAGGGGCAGGTGGGGTGAATGAATTAGTTGATAGGTTGATTGAAGATTCACAGTCCACCAGCAGACAAGTACCTCACATTAACTTGTATTTCTTTATACAAGGATAAGATTTAAAAAAAACTCAGTTCTATGACTGAACACTGGTTCTGTTTAAAGCAGGGATTTAAACATATACATAATCCAGCCTAGCACCATAACTATCAACAGTCAATATTCATATACTATAAACAACAATTTAAATTGTAGAAGTATGATAAATGACATTAAATGTGGTCTAAGTACTGTTAACTAAGTTAACAGTACTAAAAAATTATATTCAATTAGATAAACTTATATGATAACTTAAATATAACTAAGCAAGCAATTGTTAACTTAATTTATATGTTCAAGGATATATATATATAGATATATTTAATTTATATAAAGATTCAGTTGCACAATATTAATAAACAATATTAATAAACTTACTGAAATATGAGGCATTGCCTCACTATATAACCGACAGAAAGACTTATTGGATATATTAAAGTTATACAAGCATACAATTGGCCAATTAATATTCTAATAACATTCAATATACTTCTCTAAATGCCGGGTGCCTGTATGACATGTGTGCCAGACTGGATAACTCTCTTGTTGAGTTTAGGCACGATATTTTATATCTCAGCTTTGCTGTAGATTGTTCTGGTAGCGTTGCTATGTGATTATTTCCTTAATTTCTTTTGCAGTAGGATGATAGGTGGTGATGGGGGAGGTAGAGACAGAGTCACTTTGTGTGCACTTTTACACTTTGTGAGTGTAAACTATACACTCTTATTAGATATGTTTTAGGAATTTTTCCTTGTATATATATTATCCAGGTACTCCCCCAGTTCTAGAGAGTAAACACTGGTGATAAAGGTAATTTGATAAGGTATTCTGAGTTAATTAATGTTCGCTAAGCACAGTGACACATATTCACTGTTTTGTAAACACACACTACTGCCTGGGGGCACCCCAGTCGGTTACTTAATTCACGAGATGGCTCCTCCCTCTTCCTTGAGAGGGGTAGCTTTCAATGTATATTGATTGATTATTTTTATTGTCTAGACATATAATTGAGATAAGATGTGATTATAATATAATTAGATATAGAATTTAAAGATAATAAGTAGTACTGGATAGTACTATTGATTCTTATTAAGGATTTGATATAATCCCTACCGGAAATCGATTCAATTGTTCCAATAGTTTTTTAATTTAGAAATCCTTCTAGAAGCTTCTTGATCGTTTAGAAATCCTGCACAAAGTCACGTAGGCACCTATAGGGCCCTATGGTGTACGTGATCAGAGGCATTGTCATCTAGGATCAAGATGTATAATGAATCTATAATGATTCTGATATGATATGATATGATTTTGATATGATTTTCATATGATATAGAAATAATACATTTCTTAGATAATAATATAGATATAGTGGGTAAAAAATTCCTAGTCAGCATAGGCAGAAAAGTTATTACACATAAAGAGGGAAGTTGTAAGAGGGTTGTTATGATAAGTGATAGAACAAATCGTTCCAGTAAACTCTTACAAATCCACTATGGGTTCACAGTGTAAAACATACCTAATGATGAACACAAATATAATTTCAAATGGAGTGAAACCGACTGCCCCAGACCAAAAATTGGACACAATTTTTTACTGCTAAACAAAAAGGCTTGCTTGTTTAATACTCAAGAACAGCACTACTAAACAATATAATCCTTTTCACAAAGCAAACGTGGTTTACATTTTTGCACGCCCCAATGAAGGATGTCACCTATGATTCACCTGCACTGGTATGACCACCTCAAGGCTTTCAAGAAGACTGACCTGCCATCTACAAGCTTGTGCCCAGAAAAAAAAACATAAGCAAATTGAACAAAAAACGATGGTCGCTGGGAACATACTAATAATTAGGACAAAAAATCAGGAATCTACCACTAACCAAACAAGATTGCAAGTCCAATGGCATTAATTCTTATAACAGAAAAACAGTCTCACCTAGCTTAAACATCTAAAAGAACGGCTTCGCTTCTTTGCCAACACTCAGACCCAGATCTCGCCAGATAATGACATCTCCATTGACGTCTCCCTACCATCGACGTCTCCCTGCCACCAACGTCTCCCCACCACCGACGTCTCCCCATTACTGACATCTCTTCACCATCGACGTCTCCCCGCCACCGACGTCTCCCTGCCACCGACATCTCCTCACCACCGACGTCTCCCCGCCACCGACGTCTCCCTGCCACCGACATCTCCTCACCACCGACGTCTCCCCGCCACCGACGTCTCCCTGCCACCGACATCTCCTCACCACCGACGTCTCCCCGCCACCGACGACTCCCCACCACCGAAGTCTTCCCGCCACCGATGTCTCCCCACCACCAAGAGTACCTGAGTTTTGCTCATCATCTATTTTAATGTTTGATGTTCCTCTCCCCATACCCTAACTTTGATTGCCCAGATATGTGATAAGAAAAATAGTTTTGAAATTGCTATTTAACCATCTTTTAAGTAAACTGACTTATAACGTATTTGGCGCAAGACATAAAATAGTTTTCAATTAACCAAATACAATTAGGAAAACGGTTTGTAAGAAGAGGTAGGAGATAATAGAGATCCAGGAGGTGTTTATATATTACCTTGTAAAGATTGTAACGATGTTTATATGGGGAAAGTGGCGAAAACTTGAGATCAGAATTGAAGAACATGGGAAAGAATCATGACTGGTAACAGAGTTGTAACAAACCATAGTTGGGAAAAGAATCCAAAAATTTGATTTTAAGAAGTGTGAAATAATCTATAGAAGTAATAATATTATTACTAGAAGAGTAGTGGAAGGGGTTCTAATAAATACTCTGAATACTTTCGCTGGTAGCAAAAACTTTACTTCGGAGGATAGCTTTATAAGGAAAATTATTTTAATTTTCATCTATTCATCCATTAATATATTAATGGATGAATGAAAGCAGTCCTATTAGCTGTGTTCCTTGGGGTGTGGAGAGGGTTACGAGGGACAGCATCCTGATGAACACCTCTATTAATAACAACTTCAGTTCTCTGAAAAACAGGATGAAAGAAAGGACATCTGATCATAATACCATAGAAGACATTACTGAAGGTGCATTCCACACAGTCTCTTCCTGTTTATTCATCTTGGCCAAAAAGGCAGCTGCTCCTCTCTGTGTTGAAAAGTACTTTTACTGCCTTTGATGAGCTCAGCTTGCCACACAATAGCGAATATGATGATATATTCTAGAGCACAGACACACACGTCCATGCATGATCAAGGCCACGAGGTCACCTTTGGACTTTTTCCAGCTTCGTCTTGTGCTTGACAAGGTACGGGCTCCATGCTGGGGCCGCATACTCTACGATTGGTCTTACATATGTGGTGTACAAGATTCAGAATGATCCCTTACACAGGTTCCTGAACGCCGTTCTGATGTTAGCCAGCCTCGCATATGCCGCAGACGTTATTCTTTTTATGTGGGCTTCAGGAGACAGGTTTTGTGTGATATCAACTCCTAGATCTTTTTCTCTGTCCGTTTCATTAAGTACTTCATCTCCTATTCTGTATCCTGTGTCTGGCTTCCTGTTTCCACTGCCTAGTTTCATTACTTTGCATTTACTCGGGTTGAATTTCAACAGCCATTTGTTGGACCATTCACTCAGCATGTCTAGGTCATCTTGTAGCCTCCTACTATCATCCTCTGTTTCAATCCTCCTCATAATTTTTGCATCATCAGCAAACATTGAGAGAAACGAGTCTATACCCTCTGGGAGATCATTTACATATATCAGAAACAGTATAGGCCCAAGGACTGACCCCTGCAGGACTCCACTCGTAATGGCTCACCAATCTGAGACCTCACCCCTCACAGTGACTCGTTGTCTCCTGTTGCTTAGGTACTCCTTTATCCAATAGAGTACCTTCCCTTTTACTTCAGCCAGCATCTCCAGCTTTTTCACTAGCCTCTTGTGTGGTACTGTATCAAAAGCTATCTGACAATCTAAAAATATGCAGTCTGCCCACCCTTCTCTTTCTTGCCTTATTTTTGTTGCCTGGTCATAGAATTCAAGTAACCCTGTGAGGAAGAACCTGCCATCCCTGAACCCATGTTGATGCTGTATTACAAAGTTCTTTCGCTCCAGATGCTCTACTAGCTTTCTTTGCACAATCTTCTCCATCAGCTTGCATGGTATGCAGGTTAGGGACACTGGTCTGTAGTTCAGTGCCTCCTGTCTATCCTCTTTCTTGTATATCGGGACTACGTTAGCTGCTTTCCAAATTTCTGGCAGTTCCCAGTGATTTGCTATATACTATGGAGGGTGGTAGGCACAGTTCTTCTGCTCCTTCCTTTAGTATCCAAGGGGAGATTCCATCTGGGCTTATAGCCTTTGTCACATCCAACTCTAGTAAACACTTCCTAACTTCCCCGCTGGTAATCTCAAACTCTTCCAGTGGTCCCTGGTTAGGTATTCCCTCTCTTATCTCTGGAATTTCTCCTTACTCTAAGGTGAAGACCTGGAATTTCTTATTCAGTTCCTCACACACTTCCTTGTCGTTTGTAGTGAATTCTTCTGCCCCTATCCTTAATTCTATAACCTGTTCCTTTACTGTTGTTCTTCTCCCCTGATGTGGCTATGCAGCAATTTAGGCTGAGTCTTTGCCTTGCTTGCGATGTCATTTTCGTATTGTCTTTCTGCCTCTCTTCTCATCCTGACATATTCATTCCTGGCATTCTGATATCTTTCTCTGCTCTCCAGTGTCCTGTTATTCCTATAGTTTCTCCATGCCCTTTTACTTTGCAACTTAGCTAGCCTACATCTCTGATTAAACCATGGGTTTCTCATCTTCATTTCACTGTTTTCCTTTTGGACTGGGACAAACTTTCTTGCTGCGTACTTGCACTTCTGCGTGATGTAGTCCATCATGTCTTGGGCCGTCTTTTTCCTGAGCTCTATTTCCCATGCTATAACTGTTAGGAATTTTCTTATCTCCTCATAGTTTCCCTTTCGGTATGCTAACCTTTTGTTTTCGGTATCCCTCATTGAGTTCAATAACCCTTCTTCAATCAGGTACTCAAACACCAGTACAGTGTGGTCGCTCATTCCTACTGTAGCCTGAAAACCGATTTCTCTTATGTCGGAGTCGTTCAGAGTGAAGACTAGGTCGAGTCTCGCTGGTTTCTCATTTATCTCATCCTTGTGGGTTCTCTGATATACTGGGTTAAAAAGTTTCTAGCCACCACCTCCAATAGCTTGGCTCTCCACGTATCCTCACCTCCGTGGGGTTCCTTGTTCTCCCAGTCAATCCTTCCGTGATTGAAGTCCCCCATGAGGAGAAGGTGCGATCTATTTCTACAGGCAGCAGAGGCTGCCCTCTCAATTATAGTGTTAACTGCTATGTTGTTGTTTTCATGCTCTTGACTGAGTCTTCTGTCATTTGGTGGAAGGTTGTATATTACTGCTTCTAATATTCTTGGTCCTCCCATTGTCATGGTGCCTGTTATGTAGTCTCTGAACCCCTCACAGCCCGGGATAGCCATCTCCTTAAAACTCCATTCCTTTCTCATGAGTAGGGCCACTCTGACTCCTCCCCTACCTTCCCTCTCTTTCCTTATTACTGTGTACACCTGGGGAAACACAGCATTCGTTATGATTCCAGAGAGTTTTGTTTCATTGAGTTCGATTGCATCTGGGTTCACTTCTTGTGCTCTGTCCCTTAGTTCACTTGCCTTGCTTGTGATCCCATCTATGTTCGAGTACATTACCCTGAAACTGACTCTCTTTTGCTTCTCCTCTGGCGGGACCTGTGGGGTCTGGGGTGAGCGGGAGCTGGGAGGATCTGGTACGGGGAGACTGGTGGAGGAGGGAGGGCTTGGGGAGTGTGGGAGAGGGGGAGGGTAGGGGGGGGGAAGAGGGGGAGGGTAGGGGGAGGGTGGGAGGGGGGGGAGAGTGAGAGGGGGAGGGTTGGGGGGTGAGAGGGGGGAGCATGGGGGAGGAGAGGCTTTGGGGGATGGAGGAGAAGGGGGGACAGCAAAGGGGGGAGGGCTTGGGGGCGTGGGGGAAAGGGAAGGCTGAGGTGGGTGAGGAAGAGGGGAGGGTTTAGGGGAGTGGTGGAGAGGGGAAGACTTAGGTATGGTGGGGGAGAGTGGGGGACTTAGGGGGCGGGGGAGAACAGAGGGCTTGGGGTAGGAGAGATGAGAGGGCATGTGGGAGAAGGGAGGGCTTGGGGGATGGGGGAGAAGGGAGGTCCTGGGGAGAGGGGTGAGTGGGAGGAGGGGGTGAGTGGGAGGAGGGGGCAGGGTGCCCTAGGTGGGTACTTAGTGGGGGGCTGACAGGGGATGGGGCAGGTTGGGTTTCTGTTGGGTAGAATGTAGGGGAGGTGCCCCACTTCCTGTGGCTGTTGCACTGTTTGAGGAGGGTTCTCCACTCCCCTCTGGGATTGTAGGGTTTGGGGTTGTGGGTCTCTGATTCCTTTCTCTCTCCTTGCACTCCTTCCTTGCATCTGCTGCCTGCTTTCTCTCTTCCCTTGTCATATCCCTCCTCTGCAGGAATACTGTTTTGAACTTCTGTACATATGCTAGATGGCTCTTCCTTGTTAACAGTTCCTCTTTCGTGATTTCACTCATAAATACCACCTTTATCATTTGGTCTCTGTCCTTGTTGTACTTTCCAAGCCTGAAAACCTTTTCAATATTTTGGTCATTTCCCTCCATCCTTACCTCTTTAAGGATCTCGGTAACTATGTTTTTGTCCTTGTCTCTCCGCTCCTTTGGGCTGGTCCCTGTTTGCTCTTTAATGCCTGCTACTACTACTGCTCTTTTATTCTCTATCAGCCGGCTAGTACATCTAGCTGCTTCTTGAGAGAAAGCCACTTCCATGGCAACTTCCCTAACTGCAGACTTCAGGGTTCTTTTTAAGCAATTCAGCAAAGGAGAGCTAATTTGTGGAGGTCCCCTCCACAGTAGCATTCTCATCTCCCTGAGGTACGGTTTGTGTCTGGTATTGTGAAGGAGTCTTGTTCAGGCATCTTCTCTCCTCCTTTGCTGCCGTTAGTTCATCCTGCAGGTTGGCAACTGTCTCCCTCATTACCCTCAGTCCTTCACTGAATTCATCCCGCATTTGCTGGAATACTCCCTTCATCCAGGCTTCCTGTTCCACCCCTTCCTCTGAATTTGTTCAAGCCGTGATTGTCCTCTTGCGTTTGTTACCCCGAGTTCGTGTCTCTGCTATGTTTTCCCTATGAGAGAGAGAGAGAGAGAGAGAGAGAGAGAGAGAGAGAGAGAAGAGAGAGAGAGAGAGAGAGAGGGGAGAGGGGGAGAGCTACAGTGGGGGGGGGGGAGATATAAAGGGGGGGAGTGTGTGTGTGTGTGTGTGTGTGTGTGTGTG